AGTTCAGTGAAAGATTCGACCAATTTAGAAGCCTAGAACAGACCATTAAAATAATTAAGTATCTGGATGTAGTTGTTTACAGTACTTTGGAATTAAAGGATTTCCAATGGATGCAAATTGATGATTTAGAGATGCAACTTGCAGATTTTCAAGATAGCATTTGGACTCATGTGTTTGTCGACTTAAGGTTGAAACTTGAAAATCTGGAACGAACGTTTGAATAATGAAGAAGAGTGCAACTACGAACAAGAAATTTTGAGTGCTTGGAACAGAGTACCTGACACTTTTAGCGACATAAAAAATCTAGCGATGGCTTTGCTAACAATTTTTTCATACTACTTAAAGCAATCTATAAATTCAATGCAATCCCCATTAAAACACCAATGGCATACTTCAAAGACCTAGAACAAATTCTCCAAAAATTCACCTGGAATAAAAAAAGACCCCGAATAGCAGCAGCAATCCTGAGAAAGAAGAACAATGTTGGCGGGATCACAATACCAGATATCAAGCTATACTATAAAGCCATTGTTCTCAAAACTGCACAAGAACAGACATATAGACCAGTGGAACAGAACAGAGAACCCAGAAATCAACACAAGCCATTATGCACAATTAATATTTGACAAAGGAGGCAAGACCATACAATGGAGTCAAGACAGTCTCTTCAGTAAATTGTGTTGGGAAAACTGGACAGATACTTGCAAAATAATAAAACTAGACCACCAACTCACACCATACACAAAAATAAACTCAAAATGAGTGAAGGACTTAAACATAAGATGGGAAATCATAAAAATCTTAGAAGAAGCCATAAGCAGCAAAACAGCAGACATTTGTTGTAGCAATATATTTAACGATACAGCTCCTAGGGCGATGGAAATGAAGGAGAAAATCAACAAATGGGACTACATCAAAATAAAAAGCTTCTGAACAGACAAAGAAACCATCAACAAAACAACAAGAAAGCCCACTGCATGGGAGAACATATTTGCCAAGCTTATCTCCAATAAGGGTTTAATCTCCAGCTTTTATAGGGAACTCATACAACTCAACAAAAGGAAGATAACAATCCAATCAAAAAATGGGCAAATGACCTAAATAGACACTTTTCGAAAGAGGACATTCAGAAGGGCAAGAGACATAGGAAAACATGCTCAAAGTCACTAATCATCCAAGAGATGCAAATCAAAACAACCACCTCACACCTGTCAGAATGACTATCATCAACAAATCAACAAACGACAAGTGCTGGCGAGGATGTGGAGAAAAAGGAACCCTCTTGCACTGCTGGTGGGAATGCAGATGGTGCAGCCACTATGGAGAGCAGTATGGTGTTTCCTCAAAAAACTAAAAATGGAACTTCCATTTGACCCAGTGATCCCACTTTTAGGAATATACCCCAAGAAGCTAGAAACACCAATCAGAAAGGATATATGCACCCCTATGTTCATAGCAGCACAATTTACAATAGCTAAGATTTGGAAACAGACTAAATGCCCATCAGCAGGTACATCTACACAGTTGCTGCTATAAAAAAGAAGGAATTTTTACCCTTTGCAACAGCATGAATGGAACTGGAGAGCATTATGCTAAGTGAAATAAGCCAGTCAGTGAAAGAAAAATACCACATGATCTCATTTTGAAGCATAGTAACCTCCATCTTGTGTAAAAACTGCTGTTTAAAATTTTAACCCTGCTATTCTGGCTTCTGTAAACATTTGCTTGCTTAAATAATAGGGAAAAGTAAGACTACTCCTATTCCAGAGAGGCTATAAAGTATGTCCCAGACAGAGTTGTCAGTGCCAGCACCAGGCCAAGCCCAGGCCTTGAGATATGGTCTCACGGCCCTGTCCCAGCACACAGGACTTTTTCTCAGAAGGTCCGGAAGTCTTGTTCCAAATTTGGAAGACAAAGAGCTGAAAAACGTATAAATAAGGAAGACTTCCACCATATTAGGCCCCAGAATTTGAGAAGCAAGATTTCCTCTCGGCCCACTAGCACTAGTGAAATGAAAAGAACTCCGAATAAATTTGGCTTATTGATTAAGGTGTCTTCTGGTTTCCTCATGTAACTTTGTCCTACTCCATATAAGCAGCTGGCTTATGGGGGGCTACAGAGCAGATTTTTGTGGATAACCTGCTACTCTCCCATACTGCCGGCAATATTGGAATAAACGCACATAAGTGATACAACTCTGTCTCTGCTTTGAAAAGGAAAATGGCGGGGGCGGCCGGGTGGGGCTTGCAACCTAGTTCTGAATCTGGTTAAAACTGTAGTCTTCCTTCCCCACTCCGACTGACTTGGGCGGAGCTGCAGAGCCGAAGTCCAGGGCCCGCCACAGCTGACTTGGGGGGAGCTGTGGGGACCCTCAGTAAGACTACTCCTATTCCAGAGAGGCTATAAAGTATGTCCCAGACAGAGTTGTCAGTGCCAGCACCAGGCCAAGCCCAGGCCTTGAGATATGGTCTCACGGCCCTGTCCCAGGGGCTGCCACCAGAGGAGATATATAGGTCAGAGCCTCCCCACAAGTGCAGTTCAGGCTTTGGATCCAGAATTCCCCTGGACTAGCAGATCTGTGACATAAAAGTTAAACTTTCCTCCTCAGAGGAAAGTTTGTTGTGGACCAACATTCGAGAGAATAATACCACCGACTCCAATTAGGTCTTAAACAGCAAGCGAGTATTTATTTTCCTCTCGGCCCACTAGCACTAGTGAAATGAAAAGAACTCCGAATAAATTTGGCTTATTGATTAAGGTGTCTTCTGGTTTACAGTATAACAATTTATGGATAATAAAGAACATTATAACCTGATGAACAAAAATAGATACAGAGGCAGAGAAGCATCGAACAGACTGTCAAACGGCAGTGGGGAAGGCTGGGGAGGGTTGGGGTGGGGGAGGTAAGAAATCTACCAAAGGACTTGTATGGGTGCACATAAGCATAACCAATGGTTTACATCATTATATAAAGTATACATTATTATATTCTGAAAAAAGTGCAAACTGAAAAATAAATAAATAAAAATAAAATTGCCAGAAATGGTAAAATGTGAATCACTAAAAATTATAAAATATGGAAACTAAAAAAATATTATTTTTTAATTTTGTGGACAAAAAGGGGCCACATGCTAACCTGACTAACTGAGGGAAGGTCTTCGTGGCGGCCTTGCAAACTCAGAGACCAAGTAACCACAAAGATGGTCTGAAATTAAACTTTTTATATTAAAAAGCAGTCTATGATGGGTAGTCATGTCCTATGCCAGTACATTGCCTGACAAAGATCAACTTTGGTCTAAACCAGCCGTGGGCAAACTATGGCCCGCGGGCCGGATCCAGCCAGTTTGAAATGAATAAAACTAAAAAAAAAAAGACCGTACCCTTTTATGTAATGATGTTTACTTTGAATTTATATTAGTTCACACAAACACTCCATCCATGCTTTTGTTCTGGCCCTCCAGTCCAGTTTAAGAACCCATTGTGGCCCTCGAGTCAAAAAGTTTGCCCACCCCTGGAAACTGAGCCTATTGTCTATTTTGCATCTGATAACATACCTGTGGCATGTCAGGGTAACTTGTAACTTTCCCTTTTCCAACCCCTCAGGGCACTACCGATGCATCAGGGGGAGACCACAATT